ACCCCTCAAGTGACCGCGTCCGTGTTTTTCAAAGGGGAGGTAGCAGTAGGAGAGTGATGCCAGAAGAGAGAAAATAGTCCGTTTTCCAGCTGTTCCCGCCCTAAGATGGGTTCCAGGGAATTCTGGGTTTCCTGAAAGCATGTAGTTTGACAGGAACTGATGCTTGGTGGTGCAGGTAGGTCTAGATAGCAAGCACCTGGGTCATGCTGCGCTGCACTACCGGGCCACAGCACAGAGCTGGCCTGGAAGAGGAGCAACCAGGACAGAATCCGGCACCCCAACCGGGACTAGAACACTTGCTTGGTTTTTATCATTATATGCATTTCCATGAACTATTTGAGTATCCCTTAGGTGTATAATATTTGTATTTTCTTCTATTTCTGAGCTGTTGTTTTCCTTGTTTTATTATCCTGTTTTATGAGGACTGTCTTCGAAAGTTCACCTTGATATCTTCCTTTCAGTTTTTTTTTATTATTATTTTGCTCCCTCAATGGGCAGAAAAGGGAGAGAGAAGGGGATATGTCTGTGTGTGAGACTAGCTAGGAAGCTGGTTATTTTCAGCATGAATCAGGCCGGCACCGCGGCTCAGTAGGCTAACCCTCCGCCTGTGGCACCAGCACCCCGGGTTCTAGTCCCAATCCGGTTTCTGTCCCGGTTGCCCCTCTTCCAGGCCAGCTCTCTGCTGTGGCCAGGGAGTGCAGTGGAGGATGGCCCAGGTGCTTGGGCCCTGCACCCCATGGGAGACCAGGAGAAGCTCCTGGCTCCTGGCTTCGGATCAGCGCGATGTGCTGGCTGCAGCGCGCCGGCCACGGCGGCCACTGGAGGGTGAACCAACGGCAAAGGAAGACCTTTCGACCTTTCTCTCTGTCTCTCTCACTGTCCACTCTGCTTGTCAAAAAAAAATTATGAATCAGATAGCTATCCTGGTTCTACATTATTGCAGTAACTTAAAAGACTAACTTGGGGTTTCTTTCTCAACACAGGGTGCCCACCATCACCTCCTCCAGCTCCAGGTGAGAGAATACCCCAGTGCAGCCTCTTTCTGCAGAAATTGCTCTTGTAAATCAAACCTTGGAGCCCATGCCAGTGAAAGTCACCTGCCCTGTAACAGGAAAACTTACATAGTAACAGTCCCCTTCTTCATTCACAAATTAATGAGGTGAAGCCAAATACATACACCCTGTTACTTAGATCACAGGCAAGTTCACCTACAAACTAACATATAATTTGTATCTTGATCATGATATTATCTCTTGGTATACAATGGGATAAGGGAGATTTTCAACAAATTTCAGTCATTGTAAATTATTATACCGAGAGTGTGTTGGTAGGTGTCATTTGTATATTTTAAAGGGATCCCCAGGTATTTTTTTACGGATTGGGATTTGAGAATAGTAATATAGACTAATCCAGGGCAAGTAAATGAGAGAAGTGAGACAAAGCTGAGAAGGCGAGTCTGAGTCACAGTGTAAGAGACCTAGGAAGCTAGAAGCCTGCAAGACAGTAAGGGACATCAAGTGTTAGTCATCAAAGCAACGGAAAAACTTAGGTTGTCGGGAAATTGCCTACCTGCGTCAGAGAGAGCCGACTGGATCAGGGAGAGACCTGAGTTGGACTGTGTGATTGAGCACATTCAACTAGCTTTTTAAAGCAAAACCACTGGGGTTTTGGAGTAGTCTTGTAGCAAGTGGAGGGAGTGTGGAAGAAAGGGGTTAACGTGAGGGTAAGATACAGGTCTTGCAGTAGACGGGATGACAGGTGATTGCAAAGGAAAGCTGGAACTGCTGCTCATCGAGAGGAAAGCCAGCGCAGCCTGCGTGATGCACGTGGAGTCCGAGGCTCCTACAGATCTGTTAGGCAGAGTGCACACTCTGCAAGGGGTCTGCCTGGGCTGGCTGCTTCAGAGTCACCCGCCCGATGTCACAGGGGACACGGAGCAGACAGGGGAGAGAAGGACAACAGGAGAGGGCATAAGGAGGGACAGAAATTTCAGAGTGATGACTCAAAAGAGGAGAACATTGTAAAGAAGACAGTGGCCAACAACACGAGGGTTGGTCAAGTTCATGGGAAGTGGAATTAAAAGATAAGTTTATTTTGGTGCAGCAAAGCTTGGAATCCAAGCAGAGGTTCTGCATAGTGCATATCTTTCACAAACTTTTGGATGATCCCTCATATGCATAGATTTCAATATTGTGCATCAAAATAAGCTTCTCTTTTATTTCTATTTTCCTTTTCTAAAGTTTTTATTTCTATAAGGGGAACAAATTTCATGCAGTTCATTTATACAGATTTAAGAGCATAATGATACTTCCCACCCCTCCATCCTCTTTAATTTCTCATTTTTAATTTTTACAATGACATACTTTCAATTTACTTGATAATCACAAGCTGAACTCTCTACTAAATGAAGAATTCAAGTAATAACTAGAAAAGCCACTGCTCCTCAAGAGGATAGACAAGGGCTGTAAACAGTAATCAGATGAACTTTTTGAAGGATCCTCTTACCAACTATTGCAGGGAATTAGAAATTCTGATAGGGTACTGGCTCTAGTAATTATGAAGCCTTCCTGACTTGTAGCACTGTGGAGGCTGGAGACAGACTGTCAAACAATATCCATAAGATTGAGTGACCACAGCCAGGAGGAATCAAGAATTTCTCTGTAAAAATTGTGTGTGTGTGTGTGTGTGTGTGTGTATACACCAGTTGCAAACCGTTTGCTTAAGCAGGTGGCTGTAATTTATCCACCTGGGAGTACCATATCTCTCTAATCCATAATAAACCATAATCCTCACTAATTCTGTGATGCTGAAATCCTAGTGCCATTACAAAATTGGCCACCTGGTGGGTATCTATCGACAACACAGGGGTTACGTTCTGCCAAACTTAATTACAACTCATCATTTCGTGTCTGCAGTCTGTCGCGGCCCACTAGGAGAAGAGAAGTCGGTAAGTACACAACCTTGTTCTGCTTTAATCCATATTTGCCCCCATTCCCGTACTTGCGTCGAAGCCTAAGCATTGCTTTGTCTCCGTAGCCTGGAGATGTATGGATCTCCAACTGCCACAAATGTACCTGCACTGACGCCAGCGCCGTGGACTGCCAGCCTCAGGAATGCCCTTCCGCACCCACGTGCCAGAGCGGGGAGAAGCTTGTTCAGTTCCAGTCCAATGACACCTGTTGTACTATCGGATACTGTGGTGTGTATTCACCTACAGAATTTCATGTGGATCTGTTCCTTGTTTACTTACTCACATACTCCAGAGATATTGTTGAGCTGTGCGAAACACAGTCTTAGACAGATGTGAAAAACAAAACAGTGCGACGTGGTGTTTTTAGAATGGTGGGAATGCAGAATGAGATTGTGAATAAAATCAGTAGATGTAAGGGAAATGACAGTGCTAGGGGGAGTGACAGAGTGATTGGTTAATAAGTGATTTTACCTATATTTGTTTCAGAAGTACAGTCTTTTTGAGTGAAACATTGTATTTATTTTTCAGAACCAAGAACATGCTTATTTAACAATACTGACTATAAGGTAAGGACTTCTCTGCTTTGGAATATTTTTAGTATTTATGTGAATAAGTTCAATGCTTAGCCACACCGAGGGTCTTTGCACTTACATATAAAAAGATTCCGCAGTGGAGCAGAGGCTGTTCATTTGTCCCCCGTACCCATTTCCAAATAAACCTCCAACGTGAACACTCACCGTGGCCGTCTTCAAAGGGGAAGTCACCACCCGGCCAGGAGCTTGCACACAGGCTCCTGTGGGCCTTGCCAGATGGAGAGCGCGTGCTTTGTAACATCCCAGCCGCTGAGCGGAGTTAAGCTGTAATTATAACCAGAAAGATCGATGGCCCAACTGTCAGAGATCAGATGAGAAGGCCCAAGGACTAGAGCCACACGGTGGGGATCAGTGGCACCAGACACCCAGGGCTGGATTTTGACAACTGATGTGACATTCGGGCAGCAGTTTTAACTTCTTAGAAGGGAAAGTATGAGAAGCCGTACACATCAGCTGAATCTCTTCTCCATACTCGGGTACTTGAGCGGGGACTGGAGGAAACACGAAAAGCATCTAAAAATAGCTGTGAGCTGAGACATCCATTATGCATAGCCTGTCGGAGGTACACTTTCCTGACCCAGAATCTATCATGCTCAGCTTTCCACCTTGCTGTCTTAGATTTTTAGTTCCAAATTTAACTCGGGAACCTGTGAGAGCTTTTAAGCTCATTTCATGATGATGTTTAAGGATCCAGACTTTTCCCTCTAATCACTGATATGCAAAACAGCTGACAACGTAAAAGTTCACCTTGCCAGGGAGTTCACCTGCGGTCTGAGGTCAGGAAATAAGTCATTGCTCAAAGTGTCTTTCGACAACTGAGCGTAGCCTCAGTGTAAAGCCAGCCAGAGAGCTTGCACAGCACAGGGAACACACGAACACACGAACACACACGGCATCTGGCACGCTTGTCATTCATTCCAAAATGATGAACCTTTGGTTTCTTATTGTCTCTCAAATCCAGAGCTGAATAACCTCTCTTGAAAATACAATTAATTAGCTCTCAGACTCTGGGCTCCTCCCACTCCCCCGGGCCCTCCGTGGAGAGCTGTGATGTGTTCACGAAACGAGAGGACTTTGAAGCCACCTTTCTTAAGTCGTAACCTGGGGGCTGAACGCACACGGGAACGTCACTCAGCACGAGTCTGGGTTTTTTAAAGCAGTTTTACTGTCAGCCTCCAAGGGAAGTCAAGGCCAGTAATTAACTGTTTTTCTTGCTCCTTCCTCCCAGATTGGAGCTTCCTTTGCGGACCCCAGCAACCCGTGCGTGTCCTACGCGTGCAGCCTCACTGGCTTCGTCGCAGTGGTGCAGGACTGCCCGAGGCAGAGCTGGTGTGCAGAGGTCAGCGGTCCTCCTGCCGCGGGGGAGGCCGCACCCAGCCGCCTTCCGGCGCAGGAGCTGGGTGTGGCCAGCGGCCCTTCACCTCCCATAGCGTCCACAGCTCCACACAGGTGTCGCACAGCAGGGCCAGAGGGCTCCACGTCAGTGTAGCTTTTGTCAGTGTGGTTGTCATCGCAAGAGAGCCACTCCTGACTCTCAGGAGCTAACACACACTTAGTGCTTTCCCAGAAGTAAATTATTAAGGAAAACATTTTGCTATTTTTAAACAAAACGAGCACCAATTTTACCTGTATCTCAGACTCAGATTAACCATTATCCATGACAGTACCTATTTTTCATGTGATCACATTTGTGCAATTACATCTTTGTGACAGTTATCTTCATTTCTGTGCTCCCAAAATAAGATGTCATTTTGTCTTGATTTAATCTTTATCAGTTTTAGGTTAGGACTCTAACATTGGATTTTGGTGTTTTTACTGAGACATTGGTAAATTTGCAAAGTCTGAGGTACTAATCCTGGCTGTGAGAAGCTCCCAGTATCTGCTGTCATTGTTGCAGTATTTTTCAAGTAAAAAAGCAAGTAGTCACTTTTTTCCCATTATCTTTACAAACATTATAGTTTACGTAATACTCCTTTCTCCCCACTCACTGTCATTACGGAGCTCACCGCTTGCCTTTCCCTGCTCATCGAGTTTTGTGGCCGGTGTGTTCACCCATTCCATGTCCCCTTTTGGGATGCCATTTCAGCAGATTAAGAAATGCTATTTATGGAAACTTCTACAAAGTTTTTAGTCTTGGCTTTTCTCTTACCCCTACAGGAAGACAGAATCTATGATTCGAACAACTGTTGCTATAAATGTAAGTAAAGTTAAGCTCCACATATCGAGGAGATAAAAGCTGTTGGTGACAATTTGATGTTTCCTTAAAACAAAACAGCAGATCATGGACAGAGGAACTTGTGTACGTTTAATGCAACAGGTATTCTAACCTGTGTGTCAGAACCACCAGCTAATGTGTGTATGTGATGTATATAGCCAGTTACTCACACTGGTTGCAGCATTTTTCCCAGTAAAAGGCAGTTACCTTGACAAGAGAAGAAAATTTAGATTTCACAGAAACGTGTGAGCTTGCTCCGTTGACACCAGGAGGTTGTGCTGCCTGTGGGAATACGAGACCATACGTGTGGTCCACATGAGCAGGTGCATGTCGGAAATAACACACGCCCCTCCACACTGGAGGTAGTGTGTTATAGTGACTAGCATTAGTGCAATAGTAAAGTAGCATTGACTGGAGTAGGAACCAACTGCCTAACTAATCCCATCAGTCAGGGTGTCAAGTCCTTTCTGTTAACATGGGCCACGGTTAAGAAAATTGAGGCTTGGCCACTGTCAGCGTCCAGCTTCCTGTGCGTAACACTCTTTGTTTTAGGTAAAAGTAGTTGCGTGACTTCCCTCGTGAACGTGACCGTTCGCTACAACGGCTGCAAGAGTAAAGTTCAGATGGCGAGATGTGTAGGGGAGTGCAAGAAGACCGTCAGGTGAGCTCTTCGCTCCTGCGTGCTGTGTGTGCACCTTGTAACCTTGCCGAGGAAGCATTTGAGAGACTGACAGCTCAGAATGGAATGTTTGCAACAGGGATGCGTGGTTATGCAGTGGTTTTCCAAATATTCCTAATGGTGCTTTGGTACCCAAGGCTCTCCTCTTCATGCAGGACCACACAGGACTTAAGCAACAAAGCGCGTTTCTCAGGTTGTTTTCATACTTCCACAGCTAGAGACGTAGGGTTCTCCTTTGTGCACACTTTTCTGGCTAGGTTAACCTCTAGATGATAATACGTTGGTACTCTATGCTACCATCATACTCGGAGATCAGGCATCCTTGTGTTGTGTTTCCTGTGGGTGCTGTGTATCCGTTCTCACTCACCAGACATCACGGATCCACATCCCGGGTCTCCAGCACGGGGGCAGTAGAAGAGCTGCGGATGGAACACATCGATTGGGAGGCTTTGCAAGTCACTTCTTCTTAGAACCTGAGCCTTGCAGTCGATTTCAGAATGCATCCTAACACTGCCTGTATTGACCACTGACCTTTCTTTCTTTCCAGATACAATTACGACATCTTCCAGTTGGAGAGCTCATGCCTTTGTTGCAGAGAGGACGACTACGAGTTCCGAGACATCGCTCTCACGTGCCCCGACGGCAGCACCATCTCTTACACCTACCGGCACGTCACCACCTGCTCGTGCTTAGACAGCTGCCAACAAGCTACCACACCCGCGCCCAGCTAGCTCCTTCGCCACCTTACCCGTGGGAGCCGGCTCGGTATTTTATAAGCAAAGAAGCTTATCGCTGGACAGTGAGAATAACTAAACATTTGTATCTTACTCAGAACCGGAGTTCTCATTATTAATGAGTCATTTTGTCCTCTTGTTGACAGAATCTGTAAAATAAAGACAACTTTGCAGTGACTGGGCCTGTGGGTGAATTTTATGAGCCAAGGAGAAACTGAGTCACGTGACCTACCAGTACTCCCTTGTCCACACCGTTTACCACTTCTGTCCAGAGTGCACTTGGGGTTCTCTGCCCACTTCTGCATGCAGCTGCCTCCGAGCCCGAAGACGCTACTGGCACCGTCCTGACCGCTGTCTTCAGGCTCCGACGTCATTTCATTCTTCCTTTCCGTAAAGGCTCTTCTTGCTCTTTGTACACCAGAAGTTTGGATGCCTACTTTCACAGACACTTCTCAGAACCCTTGAAATTTTACTTTTCCAATGTCACCCTCTCTCATTCCACTTGTGTTCCTGCTGATTTCATCAACACAAGTAGATGTGCTTGCTCTCTGCGGATGGCCAGTCCACGTCTCCAGTTTCTCTGAATTCAACAGATGTTCCTGGATGTCCCATAGGTGCAGCAATTCAACAAGACCAAACCAAAATTAAATTTCATTCTCCCCAGCTCACTCCTCTGCTTGTAGTCAGTGAAGAGAAGAGGTGAGATTGACTAACACTGTAATGCTCATCTTCAGTATATTTGACCATTTTACCGCCTCGCATTCATATACTTCTTCATGTATAGACATCCATGGGCATACCAAAGATATTATGGAAACATTCAATGATTAATTGAAATTGGTTTATCATAATACACTTTCCTTGAACTTTTTGATGATGCCTTGTGTGCATATAAATATACATACACACATACAATACACCTCATAACATACTTTCCATATGTAAACATTTAATTATTAACTCTTAATCCCATTCTCAACATACAGGCAAACATACTTCATCATAACTCCTTTATGCACTACTCCTCTCTTTTCCATACTACTTAGATTTTGGTTAAACTGACCGCTAGCCCAACACTCTCCATGTCCAATGGTAGGGAAGAAAATCAATATGTTAATGTACTGGTAATTGCCATCAAAAATGGAAAAAATGTAGAAGTAGATACTTCAGATTCCACTTACACAAGTCAGACCCACGCCTGTGACTTCTCTCCATGTCCATTACTGTTCCGTATATTTTCCTCTCAATACATACTAGAGCTGGTCAGTGGGCAAAATTCTGAGGGTTTTGACCCCTTGAAAAACTAAATGGTTGAGGTTGTAGGAGTTTTTCGTATCCTCTACCCCAGGGAATGGTGGAATGTGGGACCTTTGGCATACCCGCATTTTAACCCTTATTTTGCAGTACTGAGCCTATTTCCCCTTTATAGTCATGGTTGGTCTTCCCAGATGAGACAGTGGATTAACATCCTGGCCTGAAGCGCCCGCATCCCATATGGGTGCTGGTGCAAGACCTGGCTGCTCCACTTCCCATCCAGCTCCCTGCTATGGCCTGGGAAAGCAGTGGAAGATGGCCCAAGTCCTTGGGCCCTGCACCCACCGGGGAGACCTGGAAGAGGCTCCTGGCTCCTGGTTCTGGATGGGCACAGCTCCAGCTGTTGCAGCCAATTGGGGAGTGAACCAGTAGATAGAATCTCTCTCTCTCTCTCTCTCTCTCTCTCTCTGCCTTTCTTTCTCTCTGTGTAACTCTTTCAAGTAAATATCTATTTTTTAAAAGATGTACTTAAAGTTATAAGAAACTGCAAAGAGCTGAGGATTTCAGATCCTGGGGAACGATGCGTACATCGACCCTGGTGCAGCTGACACACGCCCTCCCACCATCAGCCTGCCAACTGTAAGCTGCCAGCCTTCAGCTGGTATCAAAGCAGGGTGCTCAGTAGGCCAGTCTTTAAGGTCTGTTATCTGCGAATCACAAGGCGTAATTAAAATGCTGTATATACTTACCGTCTGTCTTTTGATCGCTTGGCAATGATTCCTTGGTTGCAAGCAATGCTGTGCACTGTTTCACGACGGTGAACCAAGTGTTTCGTAGCCCCATCGGTAGTGGTGCTGGCACACTAGAAACAAAAAGAACCTATCAATCATTGGCTGTCTCAGAGAAGATGAACACTTGAGAAGGATCAGTCATCCGCATGTCACAGGTGGCTGAGTGCACCACGTGGCGGCACCAGTGAAAGAACACTCTCCTGTCGGCTAGTGCATTCAAAGCAGCTCCAGTGGAGCCAACTCCGGCTGCTCCACCTATCTGTGCCACGACTGCTTTGTTAATCTCACCTAACAGCTACTGGGCGGGAGGGGCAAGAAGGCAGACGACCAAAGTTGACTGATAATATTTGTTATCTGAGTGTCTGTCCACTTGAGGGCAAGGCTGGAGGTATCCTGGATCACCCACAGACTTCCCTAGCCTTTCCCGGCATCTTCCTCCAGTTTTCCTTCTTTTAACCCTCGGCTTTTAGACAAAGCCTGACTTCAGGCCAGTCGTCTATACGTGGAGTCACTGTTGGGATCCGTACTGCCCTGGGAGACAGAATCTCCTGCACAGTCCCATCCCAGGGCCCACAGTCATTCTGCCAAGCTAATAGGGATGACGGCAGTGTTTCAGCTCCACCTAGACCCAGTGCAGTGATTCTCACCCAGCACCTGAACCTATGCTCGGCTCGGCAGTGCACGGGATGGAGGGTACAGAGAAGCAGGGAGACCCCACCCCTGGTGTCCTAGAGGTAGGGAAGACGACCCCTGAGCTTCGGGGTCAGTGACCCCTGTCCTTCTCCCTGTCAGCTGGAGAAGTGCTCACTGCCACTGGCACCCATGCATACCGAGACTCACCCCAGTCCGTATGCTCACTGCTGCTCAGACTTGCCTGTACACTCAATAGACAGCAGCTGGTGTTTGTGTGCTCTGCCCGTACAAGCACCAACACTCCCCCCAGGACTCCTGCCCCTCCACGTGGGGACTGCATGGCTTGTCCCAGCACCAGTGCTGCTCCTGGAATTCCAATGTTGAGCAGTGTTTGGGATCCGTGAGCCTGCCCCGTCCCCAGGGCCAGCACTGCTCTTGTAGCCCCAGCACCAGACGTGGGAGCGTCTTCCAGTCCTGGCTGCTCCATTTCCAATCCAGCTCCCTGCTAATGCACCTGGGAAAGCAGCAGAGGATGGCCCACGTGCCTGGGCACCTGCACTCACATGGCAGACCCAGATGAAGCTTCTGGCTCCTGGCTCTAGCCTGGCCCATCCCTGGCCATTTCAGCCATTTGGAGAGTGACCCAGCAGATGGAAGATTCTCATTCTCCCCACCCCCATGTAACTCTTTCAAATAAATCTATCTATAAAAAATACTGAATACTCTTAAGACAAATAAGAAAATAGAGATTAAAAAAATTGAAAATCAGTGCCTGATACGCATGAGAAATTCAGCAAAGTGATCTTGAAAAAGTACAAAAAAATCTTAGGCATGAACTCAGTAAGTCAAAAGGTACAACTGGAAGCCTCAATGGAAGACAAGGCCTAGCGGAAGCAGAACATCTGAGCTTGAAGACAGGTCTTTAGATGTATTTTAGACAAAAAAAATGGGAAGGAAAGAAGAATGAAGTTAGCCTCACAGACCTAGGAGACAGGTAAACAAACATATGTGTATGCAAAGAAGAGCAACAGAACAGAGAATGAGACAACCTATTCAATAAAATAGCTGAAAACTTCCCCAAAGGGGAGAAAGATACGGACATCCAAGTGCAGGAGGCCCAGGGGGTCCCATCGGACACGAGCAGAAAGGAACCTCACGTGCTACACTGCAGTCAGCCTCTCAAAGGAACAACAAAAGAGAAATTTCCGAAATTTGAAAAAGTCCAGGTCACTTTGATGAAAAACCTCATTAGATGCACATCAGATTTTCAACAGAAACCTTACAGGCAAGGAGGATACTGAATGACACATTCCACGGTCTAAGAGAAAATAAAAACGATCAACCTTGAAAATTTTATCCTGCAAAGCACTGTTCACAAATTACAGGAAAATAAAGACTTTGTAGGACAAGTGAAGACTGAAGGAATTCACCTGTAAGACTTGCTTGAGGATGCCTTATACAGAAACAACCAACCTACACCATGAGAATGTCAGAGTACAAAACTCACCAGAATAACAAAAGGATTAAAAATAAACAAGGTTTCAACAAATTGCCATAACAAATCCATTATTTACCTTTAAAAACTTCAGATATAAATGAACTAAATTTTCCAAGTAAGAAATACAGACTCACTAAATGGATTAAAAAGGTAAGACCCAACAACAGCTGCTATAAGAACCTTGCTTCTCCAGTAAAGACACACGTAGACTGAAAGTTAAAGGATGCAGATATGTGCTCTATGCAAACGGAAACCAAAGCAAGCAGGAATTGCTGTACGTGCTTCAGAAAGACAAACTGCAAAAGAGACAGAGAAGGGCATGAATTCATGACTGAGGGGTCCAATCAACAAGGAAAAGTGAGGATTGCATGTATCTTTTTAAATGATTATTTGTTTAAATGAAAGGCAGGCAGACATCTTTCACCTGCCATTGTACTCCCCAAATGCCCACTCTAGCCAGGGGTGGGCCAGGCTGGTGCCGGAAGCCACAAACTCCATCCAGCTCTCCTATGTGAGTGGCAGGGGCCAAGCACTGGGTCCATCATCCACCGCCTTCCCAGGTGCTTTATCAGGAGCCGGACCAGAGGTGGAACATCCAGGACTTGAGCTGGCACTTCAATTTACAGGATTGCAGTGTTGCAAGTGGAGGCTACAATGGCAGCTCACCATGATGATTCTAAATGTATATGACACTAATGCCAGAACACCCCGTTTATCAACAAACTCTGTTAGATTTAAAAGCACACGAAAATTCCAATACAATAAAACAGTGAGACTTTTCCATCCTACCTTTCATCAATGGACAGATCATTCAGACCCTACACACACACACACACACACACATCAACAAAAACATCACAATTAAACTAAACCATAAACCAAACCAACCTAATATTTATAGAGCATTCCATCCAGATTCTTTTCATAAGCACACAGAACATGGGATAGAACAAATTTTAGATCACAAAACAAACATCAAAAACCTTAAAAATATACAATAAATTAATGTATATCTCTTCTGACCACAATGAAATTAAAGTAGATATCAAAAAAAATCTATATACCATTTAAACATACAGAGACTGAACAAAATACTCCCAATGAACAATGGATTACTGAAGAAGTGAAGAGGGAATTTCAAAAATTCCTCACATCTAATTAAAACATGCACATATCAAAACTTACGGGAGGGGCCGGCACTGTGGTGTAGCGAGTAAAGCCATCACTGACAGTGCCGACATCCTATATGGGCACCGGTTTGACTTTCAGCTGCTCCACTTCCGATCCAGCTCTCTGCTATGGCCTGGGAAAGCAGTAGAAGATGGCCCAAGTCCTTGGGGCCCTGCCCTTGCATGGGAGACCTAGAGGAGGCTCCTGGCTCCTGGCTTCGGATTGGCCCAGCTCTGGCTGTTGCAGCCAAATGGGGAGTGAAGCAGCAGATGGAAGACCTCACTCTCTCTCTCTCTGCCTCTCCTTCTCTAACTCTGACTTTCAAATAAATAAATAAATCTTAAAAAAAAAAAAACTTACAGGTTACAGAAAAAGCAGGAGTAGGAAGGATTTTAATAGTAATAAGTCCCTTCACCAAAAAATTGAAAACTCAAACAACCTAACAATATATCACAGAAATCCTGAAAAAGAACAAACCAAATCCAAAGTTAGAAGGAAAGAAAGAAATATTAAAACAAAAACAAATGAAACAGAAACTAACAAAATAGAGAATATCAAGGAAATCAAGAGCTG